GGAAGGGCTGGCACCCCACCAGGGTCCCCGCGCCCTCACCTTCATCTCCACGTCCCCACGCAGCTCCAGCTCGAAGCAGCCGAACTCATCCAGGACTTCCTTGGTGGTGGACGAGACGTGGATCTTCAGAGCTGGATGGCACAGAGGGGCAAAAGCAACATGGCTGGGTCCAGGAGCGGGGCGTGACCTGAGCCACCGGACCCCAGCTGCCAGCCCCATGGCTCACCCTGGCCGTTGGACTCCATGCGGGACGCGGTGTTCACTGTGTCCCCAAAGAGGCAGTACCGTGGCATCTTCAGACCGACGACGCCAGCGCACACAGGACCTGTGGGTGCAGAGATGCCTGTGGCTGCTGCAGGGTGGGTGGGCAAGCATCCCCTCAGCCGCAGTGCCGGCCAGTGTGGTGGCTCACCGGTGTGTATGCCAATGCGCAGGTGGAGCTGGTCATTGGGCCGGTGCCGGATCTTGAAGGTTTTGACAGCCTCGAGCAGGGCCAGGGCCATGCGAGCAATCTCACGGGCGTGCAGCTTCCCGTTGCGCACCGGCAGCCCCGACACCACCATGTAGGCATCCCCGATGGTCTCCACCTGTGGGGTCAGGGGAAGTGAGTACACCCCGGGCCCCTCGCTGCCCACCTCACTTCTAGGGAGCTGCGCTTGCTCACCCTCCCCTCACCTTGTAAACGTCAAAGTTGTCGATGATGGCATCGAAGCAAGTGTAGAGATCGTTAAGCAGCGTCACGACCTGGATGGAGCAAGGGTGCGAGTGGAACTGGGAGTGGGCATGTCCCCCCAGTCCCAGAGATGGCACTACCAGGGTCATGAGTCCCCCCACCACCAGCCCCACAGCGGGGCTGCCCCCCCAAGCCCTGCTTTCACCTGCATGGGGGTGCTCTCCGCCGAGAGGGCAGTGAAACCCACGATGTCGCTGAAGTAGATGGTGACGCTGTCAAAAGCCTCCGCCCGCACCGTCTCCCCGCGCTTCAGCTGCTCTGCCACAGAGCTGGCGAGGACAGGAGGTATGGTAGTGGGCTCCCACCCCATACCCCCTGCTACCCCTGCGTCCCTTGCCCTACACCAGCATGGAGAGCCAGCAAAGGACCCTGTGCTTGCATGGCGGTGGGTGCACGCTGGCCCCATGCCAACCCCCAGACCCACACACTCCCGTCTCTCCCGCTCTCACTGGGGCAGAATCTGGTAGAGAAGGTTCTCCGCCTTGCGCTTCTCCTCCAGGTAGGCCTGCGTCCGCTCCTCCACCAGTTTCTCCAGGTTGTTGGCATACTGCTCCATGCGTGACAGCAGGTTGTCCAGGATGCTGGTGCTGCCCTCCCTGCCGGGGTGCAGGCAGCTGGCACCGTGGGAAGAGTTGCCCCCCAATCGCTGCACCCATGGCTGCCCTGGCTCCTGCCCAGGGCCACCCTCCCCACTCGCCAGCCACCCACTTGTTGAATCTACGGATGAAGATCTTGATCTGGCTGAAGTCGGGGCGCTCAGCTGGCTCCTGCGCCCAGCAGCGCTCCATCAGCACTGCCAGCTCCTCACTGTGCACCCCGATGTCGATGGAGGGGCGGAAGAAGGGCTTCTGGCTGTTACGCACCTTCTGCACAATCTCTGCCGGGGGGAGGGTGGCCGACAGTGAGCACCAGACCTCCCTGGCAGGAACAGGACCACCCACCTGCCCCCCACGCTCACCTTTGGGGCTCAGGTCCATGCCCTCAATGTAGAAGGGGCCATTGCGCAGGGCGACCTCCTGCACAATGATGCCGAAGCTGTAGACATCTGCTTTCTGCATGCCCGGGGTAGGCAGACACCCCTTCTGCAGCAGCTCTGGGGCCGTCCACAGCTTCTCTGGTGGGACACAGCCAAGGGGTGGTGAGGCGGGGCCACCCTGCCCCCCTGTTCCCCCTGAGCAGGCACTCACTGGCATAGAGAGCGTGCGTGTCCTCGCCGTCGCAGGGTGAACGGAAGCTGGCCAGCCCGTAGTCGGTGATCTTCAGCACGAACCGGCTGTCCACCACGCAGTTGGATGACTTGAGGCTGCCGTGGTGGCCAATGATGCTGTTGTGCAGGAAGGCCATTCCCTGGGACAGACCAACATGGTGAAGCTGGCATCCTTCAGGCACCTCCCCCAGGCCCTCGTACCCCTTGCTTGCGTACCTTGACAATGTCGTTGATGAGGGAGTAGCGGAACATCCAGTCCAGGTTGATGCTCTCATTCTCCAGGACATCCTGGGGCAGCACATTGAGTGGACCCCACCAAGCACCCATGGGATGGTGGCACCAGCACCAGCCTCACCAAGTACCCAGCCGCAGGGGATCTCTGAGGTACCCACCCTCTCCCCTCCACTGGCCTCTGACACCTGCTTGGGCAGCTCTGCTGCGAGTCTTGTGAGGCTTGGGTGGCCACCAGCATCTACGGCCCTGTCCTCAATAGCCAGCCCAGTCAGGCCACCAGGAGTGTCTAAGTGTCAGTCCCAGTGCCCCTGAGCCCCCCTACCTGCAGGCTGCCCCGTGGGCAGTACTCGGTGACGATGCAGATGTTGGGGGGGTCAATGCATGCCCCAATGAAGCGGGTCAGGTGGTTGAACTGGATGTCCCGCATCTGGACATGGAAGCAGAGACAAGATAGGCTTGAGATCAGAGGGGATGGGTTGCTGGTCCCTAAGTGTCAGTCCCAGTGCCCCTGAGCCCCCCTACCTGCAGGCTGCCCCGTGGGCAGTACTCGGTGACGATGCAGATGTTGGGGGGGTCAATGCATGCCCCAATGAAGCGGGTCAGGTGGTTGAACTGGATGTCCCGCATCTGGACATGGAAGCAGAGACAAGATAGGCTTGAGATCAGAGGGGATGGGTTGCTGGTCCCACCAGCATCCCCCCCACTGCCAGGAACAGCCCCCACACCCCCAAGCAGGGTGCCCACCCCAGCCCAGACCCTAAACCTACGTGTTTCAGCTCAAAGAGCACCTGCCGCGTCAGCTCGATGCGCTTCTTGTTGATGTGCTTGATGGCCACTACGTTGCCCTGGGGTGCCAGGGACAGGGAAGAGGTTAGCACCCACTGTGCAAATTTGGGGAGGGGAGGAAGGTGCCAGCACCCTGTGGGCTAGAGGTTCAGCCAAGGGGGAGCACCCCAACAGGACTGGGGGGTTTTGGCAGAAGGGCTCAGCTCCCTGCCTGCTGCACTGACCTTGAAGTGACCGGTGTTGGCAAAGATCTGGTACTTGCCATGGGTGGTCATCAGGGAGCCGTAGCTGGAGCCACGCTGTGGGGAAGGAGGAGGGTTAGGGATGGGGACTCTAGGGATGGAGTGAGAGGTGACAGGCATCAATGAAGCAGGGCAGGGACACCCAGGGGTGCGCAGGGAATGGTCAAGGACAAGCTCTGCATGCTCTGTAGGGAGGGTGAAGACTATAGGGTGAGGTATGGCATGCTGCAGGGGATGTAGGGGGTGTAGAGGATGGATAAGGTGTGGCTGTGTAGTGGATGGAGGGCCACGTAAGGGCTTGATGAGGTATGGTGCTCTGTAGAGGATTCAGGGCTGCATAGCAAATGGATAAAGAGTGGCTCTGCAGGGGATGGAGAGCTATGTAGGGAGGGAGGGCTGTGTAGGGGATGGATGCAATGGGGCCATGCCTCTGTAGGGGATGGAGGGCCATTTAGGGGATCAACAAGGAAGGATTGTCACACAGGGAGAGAGGGCAACATAGGGGCAGGAAAAGGAAAAGGAGAAGGTTGTGCCTCAGGGCTGATATCTCTCACCAGGGACAGGGTGAGGCGGCTGCCTGCTGCCTTGTGGTACCGCTCGGGGCTCCCGAACTGCAGCTCATCCCAGCGGATTCTCCATAGCATGCTGGCAAGCTCCTTCTCCAGCATCAGCTTCCTGGGGGGCACATGGGGATCAGGCCCTCATACCCTCCGTGCCTGCCCCCCTGCCAGACGGAGGGGTGCCCAGCACCCAGGCAGAGGCTCCCCCAGCCCCAACTGACCTGAAGATGAGGAAGCTGGAGATGCCAAACATAACAAAGGTGAGGCCGGTGCCCAAAGCCACGATGGCCAGCATGGACAGGGGGGCTGCAAGCAGGAGAGGATATCAGCATGGCCCAGCAGGCCACGGGTGCCAGGCTGCCACGCACCCACAGGGAAGGGTGCTGGGGACCAAGGGACGTGGGAACTCAGTAT